AAGAAAAAAAAGTACTTTTTCCTAATGTAGTGGAAGAAGTAGATCTTGACTGGACATGAAGCCTTTATTTCAAGGCTAAATCTGTAGAATGTGCCAACTAGCTGGTAAAAAAGCACCCTGTGTTGATTGGTTTATTTAACTTTATTCCAGCAAAATAGCATATTGTGCTGTTGTCCTTCTACTGCATGAGAAGTGCCTAAAATAACAGAAGTTGTTATGACATCTCTCAAAGCCTGCTTTTGTCAAGGTCACCGTTCTATATTTGCTGCATTTTGTGCAAACAGAGATAGGTATGGTAGGAATGTACATTTTAGAACTAAGATGCTGAGTCCCCCAAAAGTGTAAAATGAAAATCCAACTCCCACGCCTTGTTATGCAAAAACATAACATACACTGGCTTATTGTTAGTCTGGATCTGAGTGCTGCTCAGCTTGCTCTTCAGCAGATAGATACAAAGCTCTAGAATTAACCTGTGGATGTTCTTTCTTGACTAGCAACCCGAAATTTCTGAGAAACACAGGTAAAAGATGGGGATTCTGCCTTTAAACTGCATATGTAATTTTTATATTCTTTATACATCTGTATAAATCTATATATATTTTTATATTCCACATATTAAATATGTGGAAGCTTTATATAAGTGGGTTCTGCTGGCTCATTCAGTTCTACCAAATTTATGTTGAGATTAACAGTTCTTTCTCTCTTTCTCAAGTGTATTTGGAGCAACAGAGGGTGGTAAAGATGAGGGTGTGCTTTGGAGCCAGAAGTTGATACAGGTGTAGTATGCTGAGGGTTATTAAACATGTGGTTAATATGTTTGAATCTGGGTCTATGCTGGTGGTGAGTGTGGGAGAACACTGGGAAGGAACTTCTGTGCTTGTTCTGCTCATCTGCTTTCCTGGGCATATGTGAGTTCCTGCTGTGGGAGGAGACAGTTCTGGATTCTGGGCTAGATGGACACTTTGTATGAGCCTTTATGTCCTCCTGTTACACAGGATGTCCTGCTTTTGACTGGACAAGGTTATTTTCTTCCTAGTAGCTGGTGCATTGCTATGCTTGGGTTTTAGCATGAGAATAGCGTTGATAACACACTGATATTTTGGTTGTGGCTAGGTAATACTTATGCTTGTCAGTTTGCTGTGCTCTGCCAGTGAGGAGGTGCACAAGAAGCTGTGAGGAAGCATAGCCAAGACTACTGTCCTGAGCTGGCCAAAGGTATATTCCATACCATAGAGTGACGTGGTCAGTGTATAAATTGTGGGGAATTGCCTGGAAGGGGTCTGATCTGCTCCTAAGTAAGCAAATGGTGAGCAATTGTAATGTGCATCACTTTTCTCTCGGGTTCTGTTACTTGTTCTTCCTCTCCCTGTAATTTCAATTATTATTATCATCAGTATTAGCATATTTATTACATGATATCTAGTTGTACTTAATAAATTGTCTTATTTGAACCCATGATGTTCACCTTTTCTTTCTACTTCTCCCTTTCCCTGTGGGTGGTGGGTGTATGGTGGAAGCAGTGAGGGAGTGGCTGCCAGGTGGAGTTAAACCATGATGCTGTGTCATGTGGAGTGAAATTGTAAGGTGACACTGGATAAAAATGCTTTGCTTGTAGGAAAAAAAAAATGAATTGTTTAAACAAAATTCAACCACTTTGTACTGAAATGAGCAATTCTTGGGTGAATGTTGTGTTGGCTGTGCTAAACTTGTGAGGACAATAAAAAAGAGGGGTACAGGGATGAGATTGAAGTTTTCTGCATTAGCAGAAATGGTGTTTCAGGAGTCATTCTGAAATAATGTCAGCAGTAGAAAGTGTATATCAAATTCCATCAGGATGTTTGGAGATTAGAGGAAAGTTCATGTAATGGGAAGGAACCAAACCCTCTATATCTCTGTGTGTGTTTGTATATATATCTGCACACATGTAGATAGAATTATGCTGTTTGGTTTTATATGTATCCATGGAGGTAAAAATTCCTGATATGTATGTTGCTTAATGTGAGTTGTCAAAAATGACTACACAAAAGATAGTGAATAGGACAATTTATTTTATTTGCCAATAAGAGATTAATTTGCCATTTTAAAAAAGTAGAATTAAATGATGCTTTTATGATGAACGCATTCTGTAAAGAAGTACATGGAGCTGCTGCTTACTTAGTATTTTCTATATATTGTAATATTTATGTGTATAATTTAAGGTACTTCATTTATAATACATTAGAATATACTTTTAAAAAACATTGAGTAGTTTACTTGACGTATTTCTTTTTAAAGAAAAGATAAAATTTTATGGGTAGAGCATACTGCATCCTGTTTTTAGTGTTCTGAGATGTTCAAAATTGTAAGGAATTGAAATATTATATTAAATACTTGTACAGGAAAGCCTCTTCTATGTAATAGGTTATCTAGTATTGTTTGCTTAATTTTTCTTTTTTTTTAAAACTTTTAATCAGGGGTTAAACATATCACTGTGTTCTGCTTTCTGGTACATGCTACATTGTCTCCCAGATATGTCTGAAGTTGGTGCATCTGTTGATAGATAAAATAAGGCTGTATTGACAAAGATCCTGAGAATTAGTCTTAGAAATATTTAAATGAATGTTTTTGTGGTTTTTTTTCTGTTACATAATGCAGTGTTCATTGCAGGTCAGTTTGTATAAAAGTTACTTGTAATAATAACCATATTGTGATGTGCTTGTAGCTGTTTATCTTCAGTGTGGTATACTTTAATCTTTCTGCTCCCAAGAACTTTATACAGTGAGAAGCAAGTATGGAGTAATGCTGACTTTTGAGACCAATTGCTTTTCTACTGGTGGAGAAACTTGGGTAGAACTGTTGCATTTGTGTGAAGCTTGTAATTAGCTGTGTAGTTCAGTAAAACTTGATGTGGTTGAGCTCTGCAAAACTTCACTCAATTTTCTTATCTAAGGGTTGATGAATGAATCATTGAAGAGAGCAAGAAACATGTACTAAGAGTATTCTAGAAAGGTCTCAAAACATTTTCAGATCTTATCTAATTTTTTTTAACTAAAGATGGATTTACATGAGATTTAGGATGATCAGCAAGTTGCACTACAAACCTGCAGAAGAAACAACAGGAATGATGCAAGCTGTCATAAACCTTTTGCCTGGTGAAATGACATTTCTCATGAACAAGGGATGTGGCATGACTAATATGCAGAGATGAGTAGTTTACTTGATGTATTTCTTTTTAAGTTGGAAGTTGAAAAGCATTGTATGGATTGTAAGTTCTTGCATTTTACTCATCAATTAAAAATCTTCAGTCTTCCAATCTGTGTGTAACTTGGAACTGTGGCTGACATAGCTGGAAGATAGTTAAGATTCATAGCTGTGTTTGGTGAGTGCAACAGCAGCAAATTTCACTGCTCTGTCAGAAGACACCTTTTGTTTTAGACTTAAATTTGGAATCAAATTATGAAGTTTAAGGTGTTTTAGTTTTCTTTCTTCCATTTCTGTACCTTAACTTCAGTGTGAGTATTAATTGAATGTTGTGAGAAACCCCTACCATGTTGGTCATGATGACTATTATTTATTTCGTGGACTTGTGGATTAGTTTGAATTGAATTTTAAAGGACATCTAGTCCACCCTGCAAGGAACATCTTCAATTAGATCAGGTTGTTCAGAGCCCTATTCAACCTGACCTTGAATGTTTCCAGGGATGGGGCATCCACCACCTCTCTGGACAACCTGTGCCAGCATATTCTTACTATAAGCATTTTTGTACCAGTTAGTCACCCAGTATAATACTGTTTTTGATTTATGAATATTAATGAAAACAGAAAATAAACTATGGCTGAAACAGACCCTACAAATTTTTTTTTAACCAAAACATATGTAATTTAATGGCATATAAGGTAATCTATAATTTCAAAATTGGATGCTTTAAAATATTAAATAGTTTATATATAGCATATTTTTCAGTTAAAGGTTAAACTGCACATATCAGATTGAAGAATAGTTTCTAAGACCTTAGATTTTCTTAACGAATTTTTGCAAAATATTTATCTGGAAAAGAAAGTCATGTTCCTAAGTTATCTCGCAGTGTCCCTCACTAGTTCACCTAATCTTGGTTGTGATTTTCAGTTTCTTGAATGAATATTTTAATTCTAACTGGATTTTGGATGCATTATACAGTGTGCTGCAGGGATTGCACATCAGTCTTGTCAACATGAAATAAAGACTGTACAGTTCATACACTAAACACCTAAAGGATTAGTGAAGGTCCTGCTGGCATTCACTGTCCTTTTGGACTTCAAAGACTCTCTGGCAGATTTTATGAGGTGTATTGGCAAATCAGTTCTCACTAGTCCATTGCAGAGAAAATGGTATGTAAAACTAATTTTATAATGCATGTAAAACTTTCATAAGGTAGTTTGTATATGTGTTTTTTCTTACCTTTGCTCAGGATCAGCTTAATAGAAGACAAAAGACATCCTGTTCATTTTTCACTCAGCTATGTTTTAATATGTGCATTTGAAAATTACTTGCATTTTCCAGTTCCTTTGAAAACAGCAGCAATACGATTTGTGGTACTGAATTTTGAATGCATAGCAGTACATGCAAAGGAAATTATTTGGTGTATAATTTTCCAAACTTCTATGCTCATACAGACAAAAATTAACTCTGAACTACAAAACAAAACCAACAACCTTAACAGATTAATTTTCTCTTTATAGAACTTCCAGTTTTTACAGCGGTGCTTACAATTATAGATTCTAGGCTTTATGTGAATAAATATTTTGGCTACTGACAATAGAATTTATATGGTCACACTGCACACTTTCAAATAAAAAAGTATGTGTTTGCATAGAATAAGCATTACCAAAAAAACCTCAGGCAGAAAAAAAGTGTAATTACAGATTCCTGTTATGTAATATTTTGTAGAAATAATTGGAGATCAAGCTCTATTGAAAAGGTACTTTACTCAGTGGAGAAATGTTTGATTTTTATTGAAATTTTTTCCCCATTGTCTTTCCAGGTATTGCTTTGTTTTCGCTTTAGGATACCTCACTGTGTGCCAAATTACTAGGGTCTATATCTTTGATTATGGACAGTATTCTGCTGATTTTTCTGGGTAAGGAGAAAAATAATCTTCCTATCTTTTCCTCCTAAGTGATACAGTGTCTGTTGTTGTGGGAGATTTTTGAATGCTTGCCCTCCCCCCCGCCCCCAGATTGATTGTGTCAGCCTTTAAAACTCTGGGAGAAAGCTGAGCATATATGTGTATTTTGGCACACATGCAAATATATAAGGAACTATGCTTTAATCATACAAACTGGGAATTTTTGTGAACAATTGTTCTTGTTAGAATCACCAACATGTTAATCTATTGCCTCTTGTCCCTGTCTGAATGGTACAAAGGATTTGGTAGCTATGGGATTTTTTTCTCTGATTTTTCCATTAAAGTGGCTGCTACCTTCTTTGACAGCATGATGAACCTTGAATTGGGTCTGGTGTACTTACTTGCCTGGCACAGTCTGATAGCACTTTTTGAGGAAAATCTGAACGTTTTATGGAATTTAGCTTTTAGCTTCTTTCTTCTTTCATTTTATGTTAGATGTTCCAGAAGGAGAAAGCTAAGGAGACAGGCACCTGGATGTTGAGATAGTCACAGAGACCTTGGAAACAGAAAGTTTTGTCTCTGTGTGCCCTCATATTATATCTTGAACTTATACCTATATTTGACTTGAACTGTATGGGAGCAAAACAGAATTAAATGGGCAAAGCAAAAATAAACCATGTTGGTAATTCTTCTTTCTGCTGCAGACATAGAGGAGTGAAGTACAAACAAGTTTCTTACAAACAAGTTGGCTACTGTGATAATGTTTTTGTTGATTTAAAGGAGAGTGTATATTCTGGGGGGGGGGGAGGGGAAGAGATGAGGAGTATTTGCTAGTCTGCTTAAAATAATGCATTAAGTACCTTCCAGGGAAACTGTGAATGGCAGTGGTCTTTGTAGTTTAGCATAACCTGTGATAGAATTGTACTTGATAGCCTTGTTACTTTTCAGTCTTTACTGGTAACAGGCATGTAGTCCAGAAAATTAACTTGTAGGCTGAAGCCAAAAGCTCTTATGGTTGAATTCATATTTTCTGTCATCTTTATCTTCTTACCTTCTAAAACATCTTTCTACATTTGTCTTAGATCTAAGTGTCTGCCTTCAAGCCAGATACCCAAGTTCCAATTGTAGTCAGCAGAGATGTGATGGATGTGGACAGTAGAGGCTGGAGGGCATTTCAGCTGACCCACCACTGAGTGTCTACCTGAGCGTGAACTGGGTCACTTGTCAGATGCCCCTGACTCTGGACTACATCTCCACTGGCTAGAATGAGAGCTTGCAACACAGTCACATACATAAAGACACTAGATTTACTGATGTTGAATTTAATTTAATCATTACTAGTGAAACTGTAATCCAGATGCTGTCCCTTCCAGTTCACTGTAGGGCCGAAGTGTACAACCCTGGCAGTGATCAAAGTTCTAAACTGACTGTGTAATTGCACTTTATTGTTCTCATTCTCAAAATAATTAGTAGTGCTTGAGCACACCATCGCTCAGATGGAACTGTACTGCTTTCAGATGTGGCTCTGATGGTTTGGTGGTAGCTCAGAGATTTCTGTTAGGTCTGAACACGTCCGAAGATTCCCACATTCCATCTCTGGAGAAGTTCAAGGCCAGGTTGGATGGAGCAACCTGATCTAATTGAAGGTGTCTGCTCAGGGCCCGGGTGATGGAGGTAGATGATTTTCAAGGTCCCTTCCAACCCAAACCATTCCATGATTTATGAGCTCTGTGCTCTGGACAGAACTGTTCTGAAGCCTAGATCCAGCTGTCTGATTGTATGCTTGAGATGGCAGATTTAAACCACCCTTTCATGCACCAATTTGGGAGCTTGATGTATGCATACCACATTAAATCTCTGGCATGTGCGTGTGCTCCCTTGACATGAGACAGCGATTACTTCCAAAAGAGGCAGAAAGAAAACTTTCTCTGGTTCTGGGAAAAGAGAGTAAGCTCAAAAAAATCCCCCTGAAGTTGCTTAACTAGCTGCTGAGCTCCAGTATGATCAAGCTCTTCTAAAGATGTTGGCATGGATTTGTGTAGTGGTTAGCCCCAAAAGAGCTTTAATGTGTGTTTACCTAGATATTTCTCCTAGCATGCAGTGCTTGTCTGAGGTGCCCAAGCTGAGAAAATCTGCTCAAAATTTGAAGGAAGGTCTCAGTGCACTGACAGTGGAGAAAGCTGGGGACACCTCATGCTGGAGATGCAATTGCTTGTGCAGAGCTGTGTGATCCTGGCTGCAGTACTAACAGATCCCAGCTGCCTCCTTTGCCTTTCTGCCAGCACCTAAAAGGGATTGTTAAAATCCTGCTTCACGGCCTCACTGTGCCAGGAAGGACTCTTCCTCTTTTAGTCTCTAGATTTTTGCTCCTCAGCCAAATATTTGATGATACTGGAATAGCCACTTCAGGAGAAAAAAGAAATAGAATACCAGGGTCTGCTATGATAACAATGACAGATTTATCAGCTGGAATTAATGTAAGGGCTGACTGGGTTCCTCCTGGACTCCATCCTTCCACCAGGCAGGACCCATGCTGTCACATGTCTGCTTACAGAAGGAAAACCATTATGTTTAGAGTCAGTTGGGGATTTCTGCCAGCACCGGGCCTACAGATTAAATGCTAGGAAAAGATATGAGGGATTTACCAGACTATCTGTTCCTGTTTATTCTTCTTCCTTTATGACCCTTGTGTGTCACTCTAGTCTTGATATCAGGATTTTGGGACACTGGTAGTACCGTAGAAAATTTTTTCCCCTGATTGCAGTTTGAGGGCTGGGAATAATTGTGTGCTTTGAAACCATTTTAACCATTACCTAAAAAGAAAATCAATTTGATGGACTGAACCATATGGCAAAATACTGCCTTGTTAATGAAGGAGGACTTGATGGCTTTTGGATTTGTGTTTCTGTGCCAACCTAATATGTTATAAAAATGCCAAGTGCACTCAAGACATGAACAAAACTAAGTGCCCATTGTACAGCATTATTATTTTATTGTGAGGGTTTTTTGTTTGTTGGTTTTTTTTTTATTTGGTGGTTGTTTTTAGTTTTTTTGTTTGTGGGGTTTTTTTGTCTCCAGCTCGTATACTTATAGGTAAATTCAACCCCTGATGTGTTTTTTGAGATCTGATTTAAAAATTAAATTTCTAAATTGTTGTAGTTTAGTTTATGCATTCCCCATTGCTTCCCTACCCCAGGAAGGGGGTTCATAATGTTGAGATTCACATCAGGCAAAAGCTCTTAGGTACTATGAAATGGTATAATTTCTCAATACAAAACTGACTTGGCTAGCCAGGGCAGAGTATTTCTTGGACAGTTTAAGATTCAGTTAAGTGTACCAAATTCAGAACAAAGTGAATGCTGAGCTGGCATAATTATGCTGGGTTTTTGTTTTGCCAGGTATGTTTACTTGGAGCAAATAATAGTTCTTGATGGAAAAATCAAAGATAGGATCAATGTTAGTAGAAACCATGAAAGTGATCTGCATAGCTAAATAATTTATTTTAGTATTCAACCTCGCTATAATTTTCTTGTCCTTTGTTTATTGCTGTTGTATCTTACAATGAATATAATTGCTCTGTCCTTTTTTCTTTACTCTTCTCCCTATAAAAAAAAATAAACGATATTAGTAGAAAATAGATGTGAAACACTTCAGCTGTATTTGTAGAACCTAATGCAGCAATAAAAGACATGTGTTATCAAATACTGCATTTAAGGCTTAAATTCTCATTGCATTGAAAACTCAATGGTTTGAGTGAATAAACTAAACACTTTGTTCTTGCATTGAAGATGTTCCAGCTTAGAGTAGTTAACCTGGACTCCTAATATAAATTTCCCCTGGTATTTATAAGTGAAAGAAAATCCTGAATTTGTATCTAAATTGTTTTTTCTTCCTTTTTTTCCTGACAGTCCAATGATGATAATTACACAGAAGATCACTAGTTTGGCATTTGAGATTCATGATGGTAAGATTTCTTTACTGTGTTTAATTTTCCATGTGAAATAAATTTTACCAAAGTTCATAATGAGTCAGTGAATTACTTTAGACCAGTTTTGTGTTTTAAGGCAAAATAAGTTTTTGTGTCTAATTGTTTCATTGATGCTTGTTAATGAACGTACTGAGAAATGTTGCTTGGACTCTACAGAAACTCTAAAATGCTGACACTGTGCAGAAGATAGAACTTACCAGAAGACCAGTGACACTCTGCAGTCAATGTCTAAAGAGCAATGATATTCTTTTGGGCTGGGGTATTGATTGTGAGAGTTAACTAAAGAACTTCCAGATTCAGAGACCTCTGTTGCTGACAGATGGATCGAAAAAGCACATGTAATTTCAATTGTTGAGCACCTTTTGTTTTAAAATGCTATTTCTTGAGCACTTCCCTAGTTTGTGCCATTTATGCTGAATTTTATAGAACCTTTGTGTGTTTCATTTTGTTTAGTATCATAATTACATTCACAGCTAACAAATTGTTGTGAATAGGGAGATTGTCTAATTAGGTTTATGTCTTTTCTCCTGTTAGATGTATCCATCAGGTAAGTGGGCCCTAGTTGTGACAATGAATCCTAATGTTGGCTTTCATGGGTAGGATAGCTAGGTTTTTAGTTACCTCGAAATTCAAAGGAATCAATTTCATTTAAAAGTTTGAAAATGTCATCTAATAAATCTGTCCAATTAGCTTGAATCACTTGGAGCTACATGTCAGTTGAAGACTTGGGAGTGTAGCTTCAGACACTTGGATCAAGACATCCACTGTTCTGAAATTGGTTATTAACATTGTGCATAAAGTTTAATGTGTTTCTGTCTCATAGGCATCCTAGCTTTAGTGCTGTTGGTGCTTCATTTTTTTTTTTTTCCTGTTCTTGTTAAGTGTCATTGTCTAGAGAAGCCTGTGGGTAAAAATTTTCAAGAATATGAAAAGTTGGGGAAAGACCTTTTTAAGGTATTTTTGTATGAAAGAAAATAAATAATGCTGGGCTTATGTAGCTGGTCAAAGACATTTATGTTTACCTTCCAGAGAAAATATATTCAGAAGCAGTAATTTTGCAAGCTATAATCAACTGAAATACGGAATACAGAGGTTAGTGGAAGCAGGTTATTATAAGGAAGTAATAGTCCTAGTATTAAACATGAATGCTTCCTCTTACTATTATTTTGCTAGGGGAAAGAGCTATTCTGAATTTGCTGACATCATGCACAAATAGAGGAGTGGTGGTATGGAACAAGCATGTGAGCGTTCTTGGCAATCTTGAGAAAAATGTTTCATTTAGACAGCTCCATTCTTAACTTTCATCATGAACTAGACTAGATTTTTTCCCTACTTAAATTAATTCAGATAATTTGTATTTTCATCTGGATTTATTTATAGGTACCACTGAATTTTCAATATAAGTCTTGAAATTTTGTTCCTTATTGACCTCTAAATTCTTTGTCAGCCCTTGAGGAGTAGCTAACAGTATATTGGAAAAATTTCTCTGGTTGTGTCTGCAGTTTAGCAGATTCCTTGAGTTGGATGGTTGTAGTTGCAGTTATGAACATGACTTTGAAAAGTTGATGTGACTAATGTGAATTCAGAAGCAACTGATAGTCTGGTGTCATGAGATGATAAGAAAATATGTGCTAGGGAGACTAAGATTGCACTAAAGCAAAGTTTTTTAACCTTAGACAGCCTAAAAGGGATCCTTCATGAAAAATTAATGGAAACAAGCCCTGCTGTCAGTGGGCTTTTGTTCACTGTACAAAGGTACATGCTTCCACTGGAAATTACTTAGAGGCATAGTGACAGGAGAAGAGATAATGTAGCAAATAATTCTAAGTGATTAATGGCACTCTGAGCCTCTAGTCACATCAGCTTGGCTATATTAATCAACAATTACTTTATTTTCTTCCCTCATTTTTTTACCAGTATGTCAAGGAATGTAATGAAAACAAACAGCTGAAAAAAAAAATGTTGCTGTATTGGAAGTTCCTGGTAAACTTCAAGACACCAGTGGTCACTAGGTTGGTTTTTGGTAAAGGCCAGTCTTCTGGACTTGATCTTTCCATGGCAGCCAGTTTGTTGTCTTCAGCTGGTTTAATTTGAAGGTCTTGGATTGAACTGAATGTAGCCACAATGCCAGTCACTCGTGCTGCATATTCAAGTGTCTGTCTAGCTAAGTTGATATGCTTGATTCCAAGCTGAAAACTAGTATGGAATCCCATACACAAATAACAGCTACCCCTGTGACTGTTACACCCTTGTGCTCTGACCGTGAGGGATTTTTTAAGCAGGGAAATTAAGTGCAAGTTGCATATGATTTGGACTTGATGATCCTTGAGGGTCCCTTCAAATTCAGCCTATTCTGTGATTCTGTACTTTAAGCTTGCTGTATAATACAAACATTACAGAAGTTTGCATGGATCACAAACTTATACCTGAAGAGATTTGGAATATGCCTTTCATGTATTCTGATCTACATTTTAAACTTCACTCTTTGATAGCTCTTACCTTGCAACTCAAATGAGCAATACCAAAAATGAGTAGTCAGTCTGTTAACATTTGCTTTGTATTTTTTGGTGATTACCCCAGCATCTAACATGTATATTCTAAAGGCAGAAATGTTTTTATATAGTTTGTAAACTGCTGATGTCCATATTAATTCTTTATGGCAAGATTTAGATTTATTTATGCAATACTTCAGGTGAATAACAGAGTTAAGGGAGAAAAAGAAATGTTTATTAGAACAAAAAATTTGTGGCTATTTAATAAAAAACATTGCTTTCTAATATTTCTGTTAATTATATCAGTGAAATTGCCATGGTGTGGTGCTGTTTTGGGGTTTTTATTTGGTAACTTGTTGCTTTCTTATTATGATTAGGAGTTCCTTGTAATGCTCTATCTCCATCTACGTCTCTATTTTATTTTTTTAAATGTACTCTCTTATGATAGCAACAACATGGTGATTATTGTTTCAGTATCAGTTGCCAAATTATTTTTTTATCATATGTGTCCTTAGTGGTTAAAGAAATTATATTGTATTTTTCCCTTTCTAAGTCTTCAGGTATAGTATTGTGCCTGTTTTGCTTGTATGTCTCTCTGGATATGAAGACTTGTAAATTTTCTTGCTTTTTTTGTAGTTTTTTTCAATTTTGCTCAGTGGGCATTCTACCTATTTGCCTTTGTTGCTGCCAGTGTAGCAATAACAACTAAAACTGTTATTCTCTCTTTGGATTTTAAAATATTTTAATAACAGCAAGCATTTGGGCTCAGCTGTTGATTCATTTCACAACTACAAAATTTACTGTAATTGTAACAGAGCCTGCAATAGGATCTATGTTTATTATTAACATATAGTCCTGTGCCTAAGCATTATTAGTTACTGATCAGCCAGATTTCCATACAAATATAAAAGTGGATATATTTAACCACAAAGTTGAGGTGATATGTTTGTAAGCACTGTTGTAGTGAGAGCTCAGAAGCAGTCATATTATCCCATAATAAAATCTTTGTGGCAGGGTAGTGGTGTGTGCCTAAGGGTGTTGGGTTTGTTACCATTAGGATATGGGCTCTTGAGAAAGAATGTAAAGATAGAACTTCCTTGTGATCTAGACCACTTAGGAACAATTTTTAACTGATGATTTACATAATTCTTTTACCAAGGAAGGAACATAGGAATATTTCCTGCTTTACAGATGAGAAAATGGAGTTACAGTTGCTGAGTGACCAATTTGTTTCACCTCTCTAACAGATATTTGATAAAACCCGTTTTCTCTAATCTCTGCTGTGTGCTTTGGTAGTAAGAAAGAGCTGCAGTTGTTGTGGTAGTCTCCTGCTTTAGGACAGAAAAAAGTAATTCTTAAGTCCCCAAAGGAATGCTACAAAACCTCATGAGTTCCCTAGCAGCAGTGTGCTGCTGAAGTGGGAGTTCTTCATCTCCAGCATGTAGTAGGTCGGGAACCGCTATGGTTTATCAGGTCTCTCTTCCCATGGCCCTGGGAAGTAGTCAATGTGTATTAATTCATCTCATACTGAATAAGTATCACTGTAAGAGCACCTCTTCAATGTTTATTTTCTATGATTCAAAAAATCTTAATGGTAGCTTCCTGAAAGCTTTCAGGAGAATGACAGAGATCATGGTGTTCTTGCATGCTGTGCTAAGATGATATATGGGCCTTCAAGGCACTGAGAAAGCATTTTTAAAAAGCCCCAACAAAATAAGGAAAGCCACTAACTTGGCCTCAAAGAATCTGCTGGCTGGAGCAAAACCTTTGTGAGATAAGGAAATGAAAACTTAATGGAGGCTTACTTGGATGCAGTATGTTTTAGACAGCACGTGCATTGCTCACAAAGTTATTTGGACCTTAAATTACTTCTTCATGTGTATATATGTATATAACTAAACCTGTTTTAAATAGACCATTTCTTTCCTTCTACTTCTCCAAAACCATAGATCATATTTCAGTGGTTAGAGTCTTCTTTTTCAGGTTTGAGGTTCTTTCCTTCTTTTTTGTCACACTTTTGTAATATGAAATATTTCATTTGACTAATTACCTTTACTTAATGGCTAATCTGGCTTTATGCAAGTTCATTTGGATCCCTTCCTCTTTCTGACTTCCGGGTAAAATACTTGTATGGAATATAATGGCAAAGGAGGCTTCTGCTCCAGTCAGTTTGCATTGTGTGGGTTGTGAGAGACTGAAGGCTCTGCATGAGACACTTCACTAGCTATGTGGTGGGATCTACATCCATCCATAGGTGTCTTTGTGTTAAATTTCTGTTTGTATTAAATTCAGAGATTCACTACCTGAGAACTGTAATATTATGGCCTTTAAGGGTACAGAATCTTTCAAAATGCTTCTTCCACATTTTTTATTCAGCACCTTTATCAGCATAAAAGTATTTGCTACAGAACCAAGGAGAAGATATGAAAATGTAATGATGAGGAAGAGAAGGTGATGCATTTTGAAGGCTGACCTAGAACAGAGACTAGATGGAGCTAAAGAATAAAGTAGTTATTTATTAGGAGGCCTCAATGGATCCACCTTGGGCAGCACAAGAGCCCAGTCAGGGCTACACCCCAGGTGAATGCAAAATGGTCACAAAAATGGATGACTGGTCATGGGGTCTCACACTTTTGTAAGTTCTGGTCCATTAGCATATTGGAGCTAATAGTCCAATTACAGTTTTAGCTTATGAAGCCCCATCCTTCTTGTTTTTCTCTCTTCAGTCCACCGTTGTTTATGCTTTTGGGCCTGTGATTTGGATTGGCTTGTGTCCCCAGCTAGAGAAGGAATTGTTTTGTCTACCCACTCCATGAAGACAGCTTATCATCCCTTAATATGAAGCCCTGACCCACGCACTAAAGCAGCACAGAATCTGAAAAATATAAAAGCTAAAACCTGAGGCATCAAAGGTGCTGCATGAAGTTTGGATGTCATAATTTGTTCTTCAGTTTCTTGCCTTGAATGAGTCTGAATGGAGATAACTTTTGACTATGAAGGATCAGGACCAAGGAAGGTATTTCCCAGGTTATATTGAAAGAGAGGACGTGGCAAGTTGGTAACTCCCTCTGTATTCTCAGCTTTGTTGAAGACTTAAAGTGTGATTTTGAAATTATAAGTGTGTGGTAGATCATGGCCACACTGGAGTCACACTAAGACAACAGAATTTCCTTCTTTGTAGATAACAAGTGTTTCCATGAGTCATAGAATTAAATTAGCTTTTATTTCAAATCAGCAACTCAATCTTTTTTTTTTTTGTCGTAAGACTGACTGATTTTGATATCTAAAAAAAAAATTGGCTCCAGTTGAAACTTACCCTGGATCAAGTATAAGGGCTCCCTTCTATGGATTTACTGGCATCAAGGAGTGGGGTTGAAGGCAACCTTTCTATGAGGTTTTTCTTTCTATCTTCTATAGAAACACTTACATTTGTAAAGCACATTAGGATTTCATATTTATATTGCCCTGCTCTTTTGTCAAACTTGATTGGCTGCTGGGTTTAAGCACTGCTGTGGAGGAAGATAATTGAAGTGTAATCCCATAAATTTGATTTCCTTTAGGAAGCTATGTGGATAAAGTTTTTAGCACTTGCAATGGCAAAGAAAAAATGCAAATGTGAACAGTAGGAAATGGCTGCATGTGGGAATGTCTGAGCTACTAGAGAAGGCTGCAGGAGGAGCTGAAGTGGTCATTCTGGCAGGCAGTGCTGGCTGGTATTAGCCAGGGCTGTCTGATACTTTTTTGTTCCCCTGAATTTTAGTGTATTAGTGTATTTCATAAGAAATGAAAATGCTGTAAGTCTTATTTTTTACTTTTCCCTTTCATAAGAATACAGATTTTGAAGACTATTTTTCAGGGATAGGTCACCACATTTCAGAAATAGCCACATATGGCAATAAGGTAAACTCAGTCTTGCTGCTGAACTTAGACTTGGACTGCCCCCTTCTGCTAGCAGGGGTTAGAGCTTCTTGTTAGTTCTCAGGAAAAAGGCTGTGGCACCCTTTATTGCTGTGTCTGCTTCACTGGAGCTTGGTCACAACCTTTACTTGCAGCTCAAAGCTGTTCTTGAGGTGTGCCATAAGTTTCCAATTGCTGTCTTGGACTGTGTTCATTTTATGCATCAAAACTGCAGTAGCTACTGACCATGTTTGGGCTTGTCCTGTTTCCAGAATTGGAAATAGTGTTTTAAAACCTTTAAAGTCTTGCCTAATGTAGTAGAATTGTTTTTGTTAACACTTTTTTTCAAGTTGTCTTAATGTTTTCCTGAAATCCATGTGATTTCACGTTTAGGCACTACTGGATATAACTGAAGATATGAGAGTTTGTAATTTTGTCAATAAGAATAGTTTGATCCAACTCCAGCAAAAATGTTATGTGACATAATAGCTCTGAAATTGCTTGAGGCATTAAGAAATTACATTGCAGCATGAGGCTTGTTCTGCTGAGTAAAATGTGGGGGGATTTAGCTTTCCTTTATTTTTTTCTTTTTCCTGTCCTCTTCCCTAGGAATGTTTCGGAAAAATGAAGACTTGACTCCATCACAGAGGTGTTTGGCTGTAAGGTAGGCTTTCAGACATTCTGCTTTGGTGATATTTTGTGTATTTTCTTAACGCTCTGTGCAGTTTCTACAGCTCAGGTTCAAGACAGTTTACAAGATCATGTAAAACAGATCCATGTTTTTATAGATTTTTAGTTTAATTTGTACATCTGTTCTTCTGAAAAATATCACTAGGAGTAGATTTTATAGTTATTTAGAAAAAAACATTCTAAGTTGTATGCAGTCTATTCAAATGAATGCCATATCAGATAGTAAACAGTACACATATGAAGTAGCTGGTGATGAAACATTTTTAAATTCTGTTTTTCAGTATTTACTTGCTTTTTCTCATTTCTTTATTCAGGACACTTGAAAATAGTATGTTGCTTTGGGCAAGAGAGTGTTGAGACATTTGCTTTAAATGAAATTATTGCCAGTTAACCCAAACCTTTGTTTATTGATTCAATTGTTGAGGCAAAAATAGAGACCTTAATACAGTTGAACAAACACTTAGGAAAACAGCCTTCCCTTTCCTTCTTCGGGCTCAGCTTTAGTCAAACACCTCTACTGGGCAAGGAGAGACTCAGTAAAGTTCAGGAGGTCTGTCTCAAAACGCCCAGTATGGATTGGAAAGAAAAGCTATGTGTAGAATGTTTCAAGCTGTGATTACAAAAGACAAACTGTTCTTGTCCACGTGGTTTTTACTGCAGTTAGAGTAAGTCATAGCATGGAGTATGACTTTTCCTGCTGTAGAAATCCTGAAGAACTGCACAATCCATCTCACGAGCTGCTTGTCTTTGAATTACAGACGCATGCCAAGTCTACTGGAGTATTTAAGTTACAACTGTAATTTCATGGGTATCCTGGCAGGCCCGTTGTGCTCTTACAAAGACTATATTACTTTCATTGAAGGCAGATCATACCAACTGCAACAGTCTGAAGCAAATGGGAAGGAAGATACAAAGTATGAACAAACGGATCCTTCCCCAAATGTAAGATGTATGACTCTTGCAGTGCTGATGCTTATGGAATCATTGCATGTAAAGCTTGGTTTGCACTCTTCATTTACAGGCATAACTGCTGAGCTGAATCTGGAGTTCATTCATCAGTGGAATAGTTCCCTGTTCAAAAAGTTATATGCTTATTTTTTAAAGGCAGATTTTCTCCATGGTTTCCAGTCTGGATCTTGTGGATAAAAGCAGATTAATTTGGAGCTTCCTAACAAGTTTGTATGGTAAAAAGCCATCTTTAAATGAAAACTGTTCATGCATGTTCATTTCAAAGCAAATATTGTGCATAAAAACCCAGTCATATGTAACAAATTGAAAAAGGCATAGAATGTGTTTCATTTTTCATGCTTGCACTCATGTAGGGAGGTATTAAAGATGGATTTTGATCTGGAGGTGTAGTACAAGATGTATTAGCCATAACACTATGAACAATATTCCAAGACACTTAAGTATTTTTTTTCCTTTCGTCTGTTATTGAAGAAGAGACCACATACATAGAGAAGATAGTCCAGTTAATCATGCCTTACAGGAGAGATTGTGTGACTTGAATTCAAATCAAAAGCTCACAAAAATAGTTACTTTTAAAATTTGGTCAAATTATGTTAATGCCCAGAATATTAAATGTTATTTTTCCACTCTTATTGTCTTAAATGGTAATGTATCAGGCATTTAAATTTACATGTGCCTAAGGTAATTCTAATCTCACGTAAGAGGCAGAATTATCTTGGGGTCAATTAGAACACTTCTCATGCATGGCTTTTGCTAATTCCAGCACCAGTTGCCCGTGCTCTGCTTATCTTGTGAGACCAGCTGTTGCTGGAGCAGACGGAGGCATTCCCACATGTAGCTGCTTGTCCTGTCCTACCATCCAGAGGTTACGGCCCCACAGCTGGGCCAACAAGGAGTGCTTCCCCATCAGCTGGGGCAGATCCAACCACTTCCATCCTTGGAAAGTGGGTAAAGAGTCTTTGCACGGATTTCATTCTACCCATCTTGTATGAATGTAGTAATTTGCACGACTGGAATCTAAACTCCTGGCTGGAGGATAACACTTCAATATGCTCCACAAATTGACAGAGCACATGAGCTCCCACAAGTGAGCTGTGGAACAAGTTAGGAAGGGTGGAAGACACTGAGAATTCCTTTTGTAAATCAGCATCACATGGCCCATGCTCTGCTTTGATGTGTTGTATCTACAAAGTTGCAGGCAGTTTTGTTCCTAAACATTGTTTTGGTCCAGGAAAATCTTGTGTACTGAAATCCTGTTTCTGCAGAAAAGTGTTATGTAGTAAAATTATTGCAAATGAATGGAGGTAAACCAAACCTGCCTTGAAGTACCTGTATCAGTACTTCTGGACGCACATCCACTGATTGCCTGATAGGACTTCTGGCTTTTTACCACATAATCTTGCTAGTAACGTGCACACAGTCAATAGAAATAAATATAAACCTATGATGGCTTCCACTTTCAGGTAAGTGGTTTTCCTTAAAATTATTTGCTCTTAAGATGCTTGAAACTTTTGCAATTTATGCTGCATTAGCTTTTGACATAAAAACAAAGAGAAGCTGTTTATGCTCCTGATACTTCATTTCCCAACTGGTGTTAGAGAAATCTGGCTGCATTTTATAACACCAGTGAGTATTGTGTGCTTTTGGAGAAAGATGAATGACACAATTTTACTGCATTTGCTGTATCAATTAAAATATTCATTATCTTGTTCTAGAAGAATGTTTAAATACCATTAACTTTTTTAATATTTTGAATTTGTTATTATTTCAAGAATAATAATTTTTTAGGTAACTTAAAAAAAATTGAAATGTAGCGGGGATCAGCAAATGTTAATGTCATAAATAAAAAAGAATCCTTGGGCTGAGTTACAGTAAGTTTCATTTCTTGTTAAATACAATTACATAACTGAAGTAGTTCATGCCAGCCTCCTCCTCTATACTGTGTGTGTTGACTGCATGATGTTAACTTGGATTAGTACTTTTGCTGTGTTCATTGCATGTTAAATGAATCAAATCACCATATTAAAACTTGCTTCTTATATCCCTCCTATTGTGCCTTTTTGCAAGCTATCATTTGTTGGTGCTCAAAGTGGTGTCAACTCTCAGAAATTAATATCTGTCTTTGTAAGTTTCTTTTTATTACGGCTACTCTTAAAATACAAGATTCCTGTCAGCAGATATCTGCTTTCTTGCTTATTATGCAGAATCTTCCTACAGGTCATAATGTTCTTGATTAAATATATATAGTTTTTGTCTGAGGTACCAACATCCCCAGAATAATGTGCTTTAATACTGTTCAATATTATGTATTATGTACTGATTCTTTATCAAATTAAGAACAAGTTCATTCAAATAAAATGTTTGAAGATTACTCTCTACTTTTTTTCATCTATTTTTGTTTTACATGTTTATTCAGTAGTTTATTTCTAATATTTTGAGCTCTGTGAGTGCTCAGAGCACTCTTTCTTCAGTTAGAAATAAATACCTTTATTTCTTCAATTAGAAAGCTGCTTCTGAATCCCTTTCTCCAATTAAGTATCTAGCTTTCAACCTAATTATATTCCTGTCTAATTTATGCATGTCCTGGCACTGTCTTCTAGCTTTAGTACCTCCTTCCCATCCCAGTGTTGATCATATTTCATATTTTTATGCAGGTATGCCCAGTTGTTCATCAAAACTGGATGAGACAGGTCTTTTACCTTTTTGTTGTAAAATAATTTGTATTTTGTGCTTCTTCATGAAAGGTCAAAGTTATTCTGCATCTTACTGTCTTTAATTCCTTAACAGAACTGTTATTTTGCTATGTTGAAAACTTAAAAGAGTAAATGAAAAGAAACTTCAAATTACTTCATCCTTGTAAAAATTGACCAACCCTCCTCTGTGACTGTGCAATTCAGTGATTTCCCATTTATGCCTTGGCAAAGAAAGGTTAATTAAGTAATAGGAAGTGAATGAATGCTTTACCAAATACATTTCAGTAGGTAATTGAAAAATTGAACAATGATTTTGTTGGTGTCATTGCACAGTGTTGTACTTTCAGTCAGATAATTTGATTTGTCTGAAACTAACTTGTCATGAAAAAACAAACAAAAAGCCACCAAAACCTACCAAAAGTACCACCACACCTTTCCACCAAAAAAATTTCCAAACAACAAATGTCCCTCTGCAAAAAAATTAAAAATTTAGGTTTGCATCTGATTTGTTTCTCTAATCTGACTGAGTCTAAGGAGCAGGGAAATGAGCCAAACCTGCAGAAAAGGAGTGGAGGAGGGCAGGACTCTGCATTGAGCCTGTGTTTGGCTTGGCCTTCAGAAACTCTGCTTAAACCAGTCTGGAAACAGCAGCTCCCTGACTTTGTAGAGGTGGGAGATTATCTCCACCACAGTTTTCTAAGGACACTGCTATCCCTGATTCTGATCCCTGTAAGTGGTATCAGCATGCTGGGATTTATAATTATTGAGTGAAGTAGTGCAATTAAAAAAAAAAAAAAAAAAAAAAAGTTGACTTTATGGCAGGGTACGGTATGAGTTCATTATTTTTTCTTAAAGTAAATTTTGCTGAAACCCTGATGCTCTTTTGTAGAAGAGGTGTTTTCACCTCCACAATTTACTTAAGAACCTTCAGAGAAATACAAAGCATATTTAGTGTTGAATAGGCAGGTGAGTGACATCTGTTTGCTAATAGAAAAATTGGCAAACACAGGCAGTGGCACAAAGCAGGTCTTTGAACAGAGATAACATTATAAGTGTCCAAAACATTTTTTGAGACTTTATGGTCATCTTCAGATGGAAATAACTTATTTTATACATTCATACTTATGTTTTAACTTGCATGTTACTGGTACCAGCTTTTAAGTATTGTTTCTCCTGCAGAATGGAACATGACTTGCAATTGTGACTTAGGCCTTAAAGTTCAGTCCTTGCAAATGTTTTCAGAACTTGGGGTGATGCCTGCTAATACTTACAAATAGCAGACTTCTACATTTGTCAGATACATACCAGAATTAAAGAATCATTAGTTTTAGTAGTAACTGATTTTATGAACATACATTTCTGTTTAAGATCCTGAAGGTGTTAAGCCAGCCAAACTTTCCCTCTGCTGTAGGAAAGAGATTATTAATAGTTCTGGAATAACAAAGGAACACTGAGAAAATTAATGCTCTTCACATTGAAATCTTGTAATAGAATAAAGTATTAAAATGAAGTTCACTAGAAAGCAAATACAAACAAATAATTAAGCACCAGCTTTAACCATTAATAGATACTAGCCTCCTGAATTATCTGTCCGATGTTTTATTTTAAATCGCTGGGATTCCTGATCCTCTCTGAAATATTTTCTGAGATGAGCCAAGTGAAATATATGCAAGATCCTAAAATACCCTCACTGTTTTAGCTTTTCCAAGTCTAATTCTTTAGTCAGGTTGTACCAGATTAAAGGTACATCTGTGCAACTGGGTGAATCTTTGATACTGTGTGTCTTACCAAAGTGTGCACTTTCAGTTGGACATTTACTGCCCCATTCTGCATTGTGGAAAAAAATTGCCCTTTAGTTTGGAACTAGATGTTGAGCAGAACTCTCAGTGAAGCAGGATGTTACCTTTAAAAGTTTGGGTGGGTGTACTGGAAGCAGCACAGACAGATTCTGGTTATATTTTTGTTCTGATGCTTCAAAGAAAAGTAGTTTGATTGTTTTCTTGTCAAGTTTAGTATCTGTGTAAATGTAATGTAAATTTGTGGGAATCCAGGGCTTCCCTCTGGCTGCCCTGGCAGGTCTGGGACCCTGGCAGGGGTCGGGAACCCCCCTGGACAGAGCCCCGAGAGACACTGTCTCTGATCTCTGTCCATGGAAAAGAGTTTTCAATCTTACAGGATGAATTACAAGCTCGGAGTGTTTGATATGAGTAATAATTAAGTGTGGCACAGGTGCAAAAGTAAAATTTTAGGTTTCTAGATTAGGGGTTCAAAAGGGACAAGATGGAGGAAATTGGGTGTGTCTTGTCCTTTTCCTCCTTCTTCATGCCCTCCATGTTTCACTGTAGTGTTGGCATTTCTCTGTTGGTTTAGGCTGGGGACACACTGTTCAATGTAGGTGACAGATATTGGCACATTATTGTAAATATAGCACAGGTAGTTTCTGGTATTTAATGTTTGTAACATCCCACTGGGGACAGAGCCCCACATGCTGCCCTGCAGGACAGACCTGCGGCAGGGCAGCAGAACATGTTAGAGATAAGCAAGAATAAACAACCTTGAAAACAGCACAGACGAATTATGGCTTCTTCTTTGGCAACGGGGCAGAAAGACAGAGACTTTATACAATCTCGGAATCACCAATACCCACAGATTCCGACATAAATTAAAACTGTAATGTTTAAATATTGAGATTACATAAAATAAAAGCTTGAAAATTGCATTTCAGCGAATTAGCTCCCAAGCTTCTCTTGTTGGTGCTTAGTTTAGCATGTTACTGGGGTCTTTCACAAAACATGATGTCTGCCCTTGGGATGTGGATCAGACTAGCGACTTAGAGCAGTCAGTGTCAGGCATATACTGCTCTGTATGTTTTATAATAGAACCTTAGAAAAGTTCTACTGAAGATACATTCTCTTTACTGTGGTGGTTATAGCAAAGCTGAGTTTTGAAAAAATTTGAGTAGGTCCTATCTGAGCAATACCTGTGAGCATATTATTTGTACCACTGTAGCTTGATCACTCTGATTGGGAAAACAGGTCTATCTAGAACTGATTGGCTCAAATTTGAGCTGAAATTCATAAATAATTTCAATACTTGGTTTAGAATTTAGATGCTTTGATAATCTGACAAAGGTGCTTGATGTATTGAGTTGGGCAGAAGTTGCACCTGCATTATGCCAAAGGGTCCGGAAAAGAAACTGAAGAATTGTTCTGGAATCTCTGCAGTAATAATCTTACTATGTCCTAGATTATGTTTTGTGTTATGATGTCTTAACAATTTAATTGCTTCTGTAATTTGACAAGAAAGTAAGAAAAAAAACCTGACTTGCAAAAGGTGCTCTGGTTATTAAAAGGGTTTTTAAAGACTCACTATAGTCAGACTGGATTTATTGTGTTGGCCATGAGAAGTGATTATCACAACTTGATCAATATAACAATATTCCTCAAATCTGTGTAAAATAGAGATTTTTTAATAAACTATTTAAAGTTGCTAGTATATATATTACTGAAAAATTAAGATATGTATATGTCTGTATAGGGAAGCAAGATTTTAACTTTCCTTTGTTTCCAGAAGATAAAAAAAAAAATGAAGCTGACAGAATCTCCCTTAAATTTTCAGATAGCTGTGGCACAGAAGCTCTTGATCTGTGGACTGTCCTTACTCTTCCACATGACTATTACAAAAACTTTGCCTGTGGAATACAACATTGATGATAACTTCAGAGCTACAGCATCATGGCCTGTAAGGTTTTTCTACTTGTATGTGTCTCTCATGGCTGCCAGACCGAAGTATTATTTTGCATGGACTTTAGGTAAGTGTATGCTTAAAAATATAATAATAACAGAAAGAGCATGTATTGAGAGTCATCTGACATGTGCTATCTTAAGTGTGTATTAAAAAAGTGGCAGTGCCCTCTTGAGGCCTTAGGAAAATCTGATTGCATTTAAGTCTTTCAAGGTATTAAGTACATTGAATACCTTTTGAGAAGCAATCACTCTTTTTGGAGAGTGATAGTGTTCCAATGAACAGTGACTTTAAAAAAAGAAAAAATAGTAGTAAATCTAGTCTGATGTACAATCCTTTTTGTTTGTGTTTTTTAAAAAATTATTTTGATACCTTTATTGTTGGCATATCTTCAATCTTAATTTTAGCCTCTTTCTGTGGTTTGTTATCAGCTTGATCAGTTAGTTATCAGCTTGATGTTATTCAATCACAAAGGAAAATCAATACTTTGGAATTCAGGTACATGATACTGTTGTTAATAGTAGGTGGCATTTTCAGAATTTGATGGGTGACACTTCACTTTTAGCCTTTATTTACTAAAAGTCTGAATATAGTTTAAGGAATATTTTGCATTTCCTTTCATGTTACTTGTAAAAAAAGTGTACAGCAGGAAGATGCTTTATTTAAGTAAGCTGACATCTTGAAAGTGGCTCACACAACAGATTTCATCAGCTTCCTCCTCCTCTCCAGTTTTATGTATTTGTCTCATAGCTCTTTTGAGAGAAAATCTGTGGAAACAATGCAATAAAGAAAGCTTTAGGATAGCAGAGCAGCATGACTCATTTACAGCTGCTGGTTTCATTCCTGGTCAATGAATTAAATGCTTTCAGCTTGTCTGGATATAGCAGTTCTGGGGCTTGTTGTGGAAATAAATACTTTTGAATATTATGCTCTTATACACCCGTATCATCATCTATAAATAGCAGTAGTCATCTGAAAAGTGAATAATTTCAGTTGTGCTTTTTTTTTGCCTTTAATTCCTCTTTATGCACTTGTTAGCAGTGTAGAGCTAGCATTCCTCTGGTAAATACCAAAGAAACTATGCCAACTCTGTACTTCTAATTTGTTAGGCTTCCTTCCATTTTGTCTCATCTGAACTTTTCATTGTACGAGTAGAATGTGAGGGTCTTTAAAAGTTTTACTGAATGTTACACCTTTGAGTTGTACATTACTACTCTTTACACTTAAAAAAAAAAAAGTGTTAATGAAATTAATTACTTAAAATGAATACGAAAATGCTAGTTAATAAAATGAGTACTTACTCTAGTTACAGTCTTTACATTCTAGCTTGTGAAAGATTATGGAGTTTGTGTCTCCAGCTGTTTCTAATTCAGCGTAAAACTATTGCCCAGTATTTGAAGTTGGTGTAGCACCATCAGGTGTAAGGCAGCAAATTTTATTGCTTTCAAAGATGTTTTAAAAAAAAATCACAAGGAAGTAAAAATATTATAAATTAAAACACATCTCATTTCCTTGTGTGTGGCCATCCTAATTTGGAAAACACAGTTGAGGAGATTTTATTGTCTGAACTAACAAAGGTCAGGTGAAGGTGATGACTGAAAGTGACAGGCAGTAGAGATCCCTTGTATTTTCCTGCATAGTCCAGATGACAGTAGCAGCTTTTTCTCCTAGGGAATAATATTGTTTGTTTGGAACATCTGACCTTTGACATGCACTGTAAACACTTTAAATTCAGAGGTGTGGTAACAGAGCCCTTGTGCCATTGGTGGAAGTTTGATGAGCTCTGAATTCCTTAGAAAATGACTGGTTTTGTCTGTTAGGTCTGCACTGCTCTCTGTGGGGTGCTGTGAATATGCACCTGCATGGAGGGAATCACACAATTTAACCTATGTGCTTTAAGCATCACTGTTGCTGCATAATGAAGACCAAAGGCACGCATCTGAGCATTGAGCTGCTGTTTCAATTCATTAGAACCAGCCACTGTTTTGTAGTATTGAGTTTGTTTTTCTGTCTGATTGCTCAAGCAAGTCTAAGTTGGTGGTATGGGAGACAGGCAACATCTGTACTGTGAAGTAGCTAGTGCTACCTCTCATTCTTATGCTTTTGTGCAAGTTTTTGAATTGGAAGCTAGTGTTGCTTGGATTGTTTTCTTTTTGTTCAAGTGATCCTCGGTATTTAAAAGGAAAAATAAATGTAGTCTTTAAAATGCAATAAATGTTTTGAACAAACTACGTGTTGTGTGATGCACAATTTGGAATACAGACAGTTTACAATTAATTTATTTCTTCTTGTCTCATTGCAGCAGATGCAATTAATAATGCAGCGGGGTTTGGTTTTAGAGGCTATGACAAAAATGGAGTTACACGTTGGGATCTAATATCAAATCTGAGAATCCAGCAAATAGAGGTTTGTTTCTGGTTCTTTCAAACAACCCACATGCCCATGTAGGTAGTTGCACTTAATTTCAATAACTTTTCCTATACATTTGTTCCTTTAGATAGTGAATATGTTCTAAGTCAAAAATTATATGTTCACACCTTTAAAAATGGTGGAAAATAGCCTGTTTTGAACATGTTCTACTTGTCAATTGACATGCAAAATATTCTGTGGTTATGAGTAGTTGAGTAAATAACTTATTCAACTCATCACAAATTTGGGTGGGAGGATTTATAATTTATACACAAGAATTTTGAAACACATTGTGACACTCTGCAATTATGGAAATAACTAGTTTGTTTTACTTTACAGTTTTCCACAAGTTTCAAGATGTTTCTTGATAACTGGAATATCCAAACAGCTCTTTGGCTCAAAAGGTATTTATTTCTTAAAGGAAATTTTTCTCCACTTAAGTTTCTTAGATAAATATTTCTTTGAAGATGGTATAACGTTTGAAGCTAACTCCCACAAAACATCACTTGTTTAGCAACTATGCAGGAGATTCTTCTTGTAGTGCTTGAAGTAAGGCGTCTGAGTTTAGGACTTCTTTCGTAGTGTAAACTATCAGGTTATGCTAGAATCTGTTTTTCTTCACAGGCCATAGGGAACTTAAAACTGTTAATCTGTGGAGGTGTCTTTTTTCCCCTCTCTTAGCATTCAGGCACTGCATGTTGCTGAGAGCAGCAGGCAAAGTGTACATCTCAGCCTGTTGAAGGCTCTGCATTATTTTTAGCCAGAGTGATACAGGAACTTGTGTATGTTCTGTGAGAAAACTTTCTGTGCTCCTTCCATTATGAGTGTATGACAGACATCAAACCCTACAATGTGCTGTCAGCAATAATTCCAGATGACTCTCAGCTGCACTCTTTTTCCTTGCCTGGGGAACAGGTACAGTGCCCTATGAATTACATCATTCTGCTTCTTTGTGGTAAGGAGAAAGTAGAAGTGTTCTTGAGTAGCTCGTGGGTGCTGTTTCCCTTCTTCCAGTCAGACTCTTGAGTTGGTCTCCTATCCACAGGTGCAAGTTTAACTGAGACTCCTATCTTAGGATCACTTAGAAGACTTTACCCCTTATTCTAGGATAGCTGGCAACTGGATGTCTCTTCCATCAAACTTCTTCATAGTATGTTCTCTTTCTTCCATAATTTCATCCCTAAATATTTTGCACATCCAGTTTAAAAAAGAAATTGAATTTTATGTGATTATTCTGGTTGGCTCAATAGTCAATGGAATCTATTGCTAGGACCGTCAACAAAAAATTGCATGTTTGGAGGTATTGAAATGTAGCATTTCAAAAACCAAATATGTAATTTAGCTGTTTTGATTTAGTTAGAGAACAGAAGTTTAACAGTATTAGAAGATAACAGGACGAGGTTGTATTTCCACAGACTTTCAAATCCCCTAAATGGAATTATTCTAAACAAAAATTATTAGTGAAGAAGCATAATATTACTCTTAAAAATTGAAAGAAAAAAAATGCAAGTCAGTTGCTCAGGGTGATAATAAAAGAAGATGTGAAGAAAACTTAAACCATCTATTTAATAAGTATTTTTTAAAACAATAAGAAAAGAATCCTTTCGGGTGGTCTAAGTTGATTCTGTCAAAGTTGAAAGGGTGTGGAAAGATGGCTATTCTGTGAAAGTTTTGTTGCGAGTAAAATAGGTGTATTAATAGTGGTAGAGAATGTACATTTTGTTACTAATCATTTGGTTAGTTGCAATGCTCCAAAAATTTGCATAGAGGACAAACGCATACATTACTTTAAACGTCGACTTCTAATAGATCACTTTTTTTACCATTTATAGAAGTACCTAAAACTTCAGCCATTTATCTCACATGAAATACCTGACATTAGCATTTGTTCTGTTCTTTTCTGATAATGGTAGAAACGGAACCATCAGTTGAAGCCTGATTGTGTGTAAAAACAGACTTGTAGAAAATACAGTTAATGGAGCTGCAGATCACAAAGAGGTTTAATAAATATTTAATGTAGATCATAGTATACAGCAATTTAAAGGCATTATTGTTACAAGCATGTAAGTTAAAATAGATAGTTACATAGTAGCATATATCAACAATATATATCATTATAACATTTCTGGGCTGGGAAAGCTGTTATGTTCCCCTCAGTCCATTCTTTATCTTTTTCAAAGAAAGCATCGCATCCCATTTGTCTTTGGTCACATTTGCAAAACTGTGGGCTTTTTTGCTCAATTCTGACATCTTTCCAAATGTCCTGTCTTCTTAGAGTAGATGCAGTACTTCTGCTAAGACCTTCAAGAATTTCCCCTGGCTTTTTAGAGGCAGGGTTGATTAATTTGAGTGGATTAGTTATAATTATTTTCTTTGGGTAATACTGTGATGTATTAGAAAGGGTGTTATCTTTGTTTGCAGCAGCAATCTACTGTTGGTTCATGCTTAGCCAATACTCAGTGTTTCATACTGTTGATCCATTACTCATACTCAGCTACGCTTTTTGAGTAATGTTGCAGGAATGGTACTGGTTTGTGTCTTCCACTTTTCTTATTAGATTTTCTATGCTTTGGACTTCATCTTGTTGATTTAAGAACATTGTTCAAGTCTGCCAAGATCACTTTGGATTCTAGTGCTCTCTATTAAGAAAACAATGCCCATCTTGTCCATCCCACCTTCCACCTCAAAAAAGCAAAGGAAAACAAGGTGGAAGAAATACTTCTTAGTCTACCACCTAAGTTAGTAAAGAAATCATAGAACCAGACTGAGGCCAGTACCTTGCTGAACAGTTGAGGCATCTTCCCACTTCTAGAGCATTATGGAACCACCTATATTTGAATAGACTTTCTCAACCTGTTGTGATGACCATATTTCCTTCATTTGTTTCTAGGATCATCAAATGAAGTATTTCAACATTATTATTGCCAAATCCATGGAAGCATTTCAGTTTACTTTTTACTCTTTGAAATTGAAATCTGAGGAATTTTTTTGTACTGTTTTACTTCACATTGATACAGCTGAAATTTGGTTAGTTAATTTAGTGACTTTTTGTTTGCTCCTGAATGCTTTCCAGGGATAATTTCATTACTTTAAACCAAATAATAATTGAAGACATGTATCACTTTATTAATGAGATGTAATTAGCCACCAGTCACATGCATTCAGAATTAATAGCAGTATTAGAACACATAACATTTCACATGTGTTTAGTGCTTTGGTGTAATAAACATTTTTAAACACTCTTCTGCAACCAATCCCAAGTAGATTAAAAAGCACACATGTACATACACAATTACATGCAAACTGCACCTCCTCTCCTAAGGATGTGTGGGATACAAAACCCTGCTTGGATGCACTGCCTGTGGGAGATGTGAGTGCTCCATCTTGGTGTGAATCTGGTGATTTCACATGTCCCCTTGAAAAGCCTGGCACAAATCCATGTGCCTGCAGCTGGAAGGGATGAGACACTGCTCCCTGGCATGGTGCACTGCACTGACAGGCCCCTATCTGGATGCAGCTACCCTGTGGCTATCAGGGATTCTCTGTCTTGGCCAAGACAGAGGTCATTGTGTTGGTGGGGCGACTTCTGGCAGTGTCAGATGAGGTTTTGATGAAAAGATTTTGCTCCAAGATGTCTCCCTGACTCAGCGCACATTTTCCTAATGCTTTGCTACTCCTGAAGCTGACAGATTTTTTGTCAAAAATGTCTCTGTTTGCTATTCAGCCTGGCCAATGTTGCTTTCCTCTTTAAGGTGATCTGTTTTGGTCAGATGTTGTCAGATAGTTTTAAGTATTAGACCAGCCCCATGTTCTCATCTTAATTGCCACTGTGACTGAAGCCCTTTAGCAAGAGGAGGGGGTTGAGCACATATCCCACTGAAGACCTCATAAGATAAAACTTACTATATCTATTTGACTGAAATAAACTAAATTAGAAAATTACACTTTTAATCTTCCTTTATTCAGATCCTGTCTTTTTACCTTCTGTTCGTCAACCTAGACTACATCAGTAGGTTTCAGGAATCTTTATGTGGAAGTTGCAGTAAAGTAGTTAGATTAGTAGTGGATGTTGTGGCTCTCAGTATCATTAGCTTGTCATCTTTGAATAACAGATGTGCATTCTCTTCTCTTTCTCTGTTACTTGCTATGTGATTATAAAACAATTTTACATATTTGTGTCTATAGCCTTATTAGTTAAAATTCATTTTTGTATGTTAGCCATAGATTTGTGCTCATGCATGCTTGTGGTGTTTATTTTTGCTTTGTTAGTTTGTATCTGTTTCCATATTTCCTATTGCTTTTTGGTTTTCAGATCATTAAAGGCATAAAAGAACTCTTGATGAAGCCATATCAGGACCTTACCATGTTTCCTATCATTCTTCCACATCATGATGGTTTGTCATTGTGTCATATAATGTTTTCTTCTAGAAGCCACCTTTCTTGGATTCCTTTTCCCCTTCTTCCTTCTAGAATTCCTTATTATAGAACCTTGCCTAGTAATTCAGAGTCTCAAGTTTAAATAACACAGAGTTCAGCATTCTCCTTATTTGATACTCTCTCAGCACTAGAGTATTTATTACAATTTCATTGTCACACTTACCTAATTGTGTCACACAGACACATTTTCAACTGTAGTTTCTTTATTATTCAAAATTGAAGGTAGTTATTAGTTTTCCCCTGCTGCTCTTACTTTATGGAAAACATATGTCACTCATCTCAAGAATCTGGCAGTGGTTTGTGCCTTCCAGTGCAGCTTTTCAAACACATCCTTTGGTGGCTCAAGATCCCTTATTAATGCCACAACTCATCTTTGGATGCTTGTGTATCACTTCATTAGGAATAAGGACAATGTGTGACGGCACTGAGCACAAGTTTATCACTGAGGGCTGAAATCAGGAGCTGTGAATAGATTTAAGCATTTTCTGTAAGCCATAATATTATTAAAGAACACCATTATTAAAAAATAGAAAATTAAAATTGCATTGAAACTTCTTTGTTGGAGATGAAACTGGTAAAAGTATAAACGATAGCTGGGAAGACTGGGTGATTTGTTTCATGTTACTTATCTTGAATTGTTTCTGACTTGCTAGAGTGTGCTATGAGCGAGCCACCTTCAGCCCAACGATCCAAACCTTCATTCTTTCTGCCATCTGGCATGGGGTTTATCCAGGATATTATTTAACATTTTTAACAGGAGTACTAATGACACTAGCAGCACGAGCTGTAAGTACCAACCAAGTATCTTCTTAAATAAGTTTTGTAAAAGCAAATTGGTCATGTTCATTGCTCCAAAGATGTCCTTTACTGTGATACACAATCTGTCTGCTAGTGATGTTTGCTTTTTTCATTATGAGAAAAATGGGAATGATTAATTAAAAGGAGGGCTTGATTAGTAGAAACAAACAAGACTATACACAGCCTATAACATCTTTGTAGTATATCTTTTGTGGAAGCTCTTCCTCTGTATTAACTGAGAGTGTGTTACTATAGCATGCTGGACAGGTTGATGTTATCTAAAATAATTTCAAAAAAATCAGTGATGATGAGTAGCTTAAAATTTGAGCATCGGTGCTATGTATTTCTAGAGTCTGTTTCATCCCTAATTTCTCTCCAGTACTATTGTAAGGATGATAACTAAAGAATGAAGAATGCTCCCCCTCAAGCAGCACATAAAAATCTCTAGTGCAGTTACTATTTCAAGTTGGCCAGCCAATAGTGCAGTCACATTAACATGCTTTTGCAGTTGCTATTCAGAACCATATGGAAGCAGCAAATCTGCCAAGAAATCTCTTACTATTCTGCCTGAGAAAGCTGTGTAAGAACAGAGACAGGTTTGTCAGTCACTCAGTGGAAAAGAGGAGCAAATTACACATCAGATCAGAGGAGCATAACAGAGCACTTTTATGTTGAAAGAACCAGGGGAGTGAGAAATGAAGCAGACTGCTCTGTGGTTGCTATAATAGCTAGGGGAAGGTGGTACTTCAGATTTAGATTGCTACTACAGCAATAAAGCAAATGCTTCTTTTTCTTCACAAGATCTGGGTATAGTCCTTGTTTGACAGAACTGACTCCTTTCTTTACAACAGATACTGCTTTCTTCTTCCAGATCTATCACAGGGAACTTCAGATATTTATTGGCCAGGAGCTGGAGCAAAAGCCAAGGTTCTGGGACAGTTCACAAATAAAAGTTGTTTACTTAGTGAGACAAGTCCAGTAAATTGGAGTGCTCACTGCCCTTCATCCTAGGGTTCTCTAGTAGACTATATTTTATTCATGTTTCATATGTATCGATCAATAGGCTAGTAAAAAAAAAAATTGAGTTTCTTTATCAACAAGTACTTAATATTGAGTAAGATATGTAAGAGCATATTTGTTATTTAACTGTACTTGTCTTTAACTGCAAAGTTTGGCAGCACTGATCCACATTTTGTTCTGTTATGCCTAAGCATGTATCCAACTTATTTTACTGCCTTTAATCATTACAGATTTCATAACGGGGTGTTTACTAATGGCAGCCATAGATTTCTGTTAAAAGTTGTTTTCCAAGTCCTAAAATACAAGATTACAAGAAATTTTGTGAAGCTTCATCTGGGTTCTACAGAACTCAGGAATCAGTCCTTTCATGTGACTATAGGAATAACTAGAGAGAGATGGCAGAATGAAGGGTATGTAGCTAGAATTACTTGTTTGACATAGCTTAACTAAGTAAAGACTGAGTGGGAATGTGGTATCTATAGGGCAATTAGAATAAGAACAAGAAGAAGGGTCAAAAAGGGTTTTTAATGTAAAGACTTAAATCAGCAGGAGCTAGCTTTGGATACGTTCTTTGGAATGAGGAGCTCTAAAGAAACTGAGGGTTAAGGAAGCTGAACAGTGTACTGTGGTGTGCAGCTTTTCAGACAGCACTGCTTCAGAGCAGGTGACCAGGAAGTGGCAACTGTGCTATCAGTCTGGGGTCAAAGGCTGAATTGAGCTCATCTTGGTTTGTCAGCATGTAAGAGTGTGAGCAAGGATAACGCTTCAGTCAAAGGAAGGAGAGGCGAAGATTTACCGATGTTTTTGTAATTACAGACTTACATAAAACTGAGCCCAACCCTGTGGGATTTGGGTTTGGGTTTTTTAAAATATATCTTGTATTCAATCTTATAAGCAGAATTTAAGAACAAAAGAAAATTCAGCATAGAAATTTGAGTAATTTTATAATAATCCAACTTGACAGAAGTTAAGACTTCTGAAATATGTAATTAGAATTGGAATTTTGTATATTCTGATATATACCCTACTGCCTTAAAATACATTTTATTAACAAGCATATAAAAATCGCTTACTATATAGAAGCTTTCATCAGAAACATTCTGGCCTTCACTTATTCTAACCCTCTATATTTATGGAATGGCTTGGTAGAATGCAGTGTCTGCCTCATTCATACAAGCACTCTAAATTTGCATTGGATTTAGGGAAGGATTAATTTACTTAAATTCTGCTTAAATTGATAAATGCTGAAATTCCTATGCTGAATGAATTGCAGGGAATTTGAGCCAATTCTTGTTGAAGTTACTGGGCATTTTGAATAGTTCAAATATATTTGACCAAACTATAGCATGTAAATTCATCCTGTGACTTTTGTGTCAATGCAACAACCTGAGCTCTCAGGGTTTATTCCTCAGCTAATTTAGTATTACCTGCTTTTTCAGATAAGAAACAACATCAGACACTATTTTGTTGAATCTCCTGCTGTTAAACTATGTTATGATATTGTAACATGGATGGCAACTCAAGCAGCAATAAGTTACACAGTCGTGCCGTTTGTACTGCTCTCGGTAAAACCCTCTTTCACCTTTTACAGGTAAGCACATTCTACCTGTTTCCTTTCCTTTCACTTGGAATAGAAGTATTTTCAGTGGCAGAAGATATCTGAACCTATTTTAGTGACAGAAGTCTAAGATTGATTTGTAGCTGAGTGAACTGTATTTCTAGTACTTGAACAGTGTGTCTTGTGTTGCTCACACTTTCCTCTCATAATAGACCCATTTTTCAGGGGGAAGGGGAAAAAACTCAATCAAAACCAAACCCAGGGGATACCTCTGAAATGACTAAATGCCCTTGAACTGTTTTATAGCAAGACTAGATATTGACTTCCCAGAAATAACTTGTGAAAAAAGTTGAAAGCAGACTTCTGTTCATGTTATACCTTGTTACAGTCCTAAATAATGTGAGGGAAGACTTAATTTCTGATTTCCCCCTTATTTTACTTTTCTTAAAGGAAATATTAATGTTTTCATATCTTATATGCAAAGTATATCTGTTAGATGGTCAGAGTTTCATTGATTTATTATTTCTGTTTTTTAGCTCCTGCTATTTCTGTCTTCATATTGCCAGCATCCTGGTGTTGTTGGTATTTCCATTGAAAAGAACTCAAAAAGGAAGTAAAAAGCATGAAAGTGTCCAGCCTGTGTGGTCCAGAAAACTAGAAGAAGAAAGTCTTTTGCAAAAGAACCATTATTCCACAACAAATAATAGTTTCAGTCAGAAACAAGAAATAACCTGCAGATATCAAGCATTAAAACAGTGATTGAGGAAATACTATGATGAATATATTTTGTATGTTTTCAGAAACCCATTTTTAGCACCTTTTAAAGGGGTTTGTATTTGTTTGCAAAGATATTTAGTAAGAAAAGAATGCATTACCTAGGAAAATCACATACAATAGCAAGACTGGAAACAAAACAAATTAACCCCTCCCATGCCATGTCCCTGTGGGTCACGCCTTATATGAAGATATTACCATTATTTCAATGGGCACTCAGGACTTGCAACGTATGTCCATAGGGTCATATGTGTGCCCTTTGCTGAATGTACGTTGTGTATCCCAAGGCACTGATGGGGTGGAATAAAATTGTGTCAGTCTAGGATTAAAATATGGAAATTAACTTTTCCGACTGAGTGAACTTGCCTTAAACCCTCTATTTACTGAAATATAGTTTCTAAGTGGGTATTTCAAGTTTGATTTTATGTGGAAGGTATTTCAAATATATAACACTATGTGCTATAAAGAAGATAATGAGAGGAAGTACAAAGTCACTAGAAGACTTTGGAGTCTTTCAAAGGGAATTGCAATAAGCATCTCAGTATTTGGAGGGTTTTCTTATCTTAAACTATTAGAGTACATTACAGAACTGTAAACATTGATGCCAAATTATAGTTAGGTTTCTTTGATAAAGAGTATAATTACTCTGAATGGATTAAAATGGCCCTTCTGAACAGATTAAAAACACCAGAAGATTTACCTTTTCCAGGGATTGATAGCTCTAATGTAGGTTTCTTTTACTTTAAAGTACCCAAACCCAGTAATACACTGCCAAGTGGGCTTTGCAGCCAGAGGGGGAAAGACAGCCACAAGGCACAGAAGACAATGTGCAAGCACTGGGATTTCAATGAAAGTGCAGTTTTGCCCTTAAATACCATAAATACTTGTTCTAGAATAGAACTGTTTTACAAAAAGTAATTTTTAATACTTAAAATTATTTTGAATTTTCAGGCATCAGTTAGTTGATGATGCTTTCAGCATAAAATAGCAAAATTACCTTCAAGCTTCAGCACATAGGTAGTCAAACATGAAATGACTATCACAACCAATTTCTGTATGCTTGATAATTGATGAACCTTTATCCAAAGAAGTGTGTGAATTTGAGGAAAAGCTTTTTCTTCGAATTAGAATTTTAGATGCAAATTTCATGTCATATTTCTGGGTAACATAATGAAAGAAAGAAATCCTTCAGAATATCTGATTGTCTGAATTATGGAAATGTGTCAAGGAAACAATGTAGTGGTTATATCTATTTCCAATAATTTATTTTGATGATGGTTAGTGCTAGAGTACTACTGTTAAAGGGCTACATTTTAATTGCATATATTCTGTATTTTCATATAATTTTTTTAAGTAAACACAAGCTGTTTATCCATGTGGGGTTTATTCTTAATTTTAAAGCAGATACAAGATAATACCAGAGAAAACTAATGCAGCTGGTTGATTAATAACAAACAATTTATTGATAAAAATTTTGTCATAATATTTTGAAACCTAAAGTTTTCATCAAATATCTAGCTCCAGTTGGATGAGTAGTCTTACTACCACAAGTGCAATGATGGATATATCCCCAGCTTTGGGGATATTGCCATGCAGAAATCATCACCATACTCCCTGAAGAACCATATCCTAAGTTAGGTCAGAGTTGTTTCCTTGCTGTCATAACTCTCTGGCCCTTGGCTCCTTGCCTAAAACTCTGGGAGGAAGAGAACATAACTTCCCATATATGTAGGTTAGCACTAATTAATCTACTCAGAAAGGGTGAACTGAATATGAAATGAGAGTGGATGAGTCTGTTTAGATGAGGAGGGACGTTCATTGTTTCAGTGACAGCTGTATTATCTTTAAGATAAAAGAATCTGACTTCTAAATCCTTACTTTGATTGCCCAGGTAGACTTCCCCTAACATGGGGTTATGGTTGTCATACACTTCTTTGACACCACATTATGGTTTTCTTTTTGTTAATAAGTAAGAGTATGCTAGTTTGTTTGATCATCCTTGTTAAATACAGAATCAGGAAAGACATTTTTTTGCATTCTGTACTTGAAGGGGCATTTACATAAAGGAACAGAAAAAGATTTGCACATTTCTGGGTGGGTAAGTAGAAATAGGATTGATTCTTTCAGTATTGGTTACTCTTGAACTTAAATTAATCTTATTGGTGCAGTCTCCAGAGCTATTTAAGAAAAACCACTTTTGCATGCCATATGATGTGGTATTTTCTTATTTATCTTCTCATACTCTTGATTTACTGTTTTGGCATGCGTGCCCACATGTGCTGTGGAGGCTTACTAATTCTTCTTTATGAAATATGGAAACAGTTGTAAAGGCTCCCAGAAAATGAGCAGATACAGGGTAGTACAGACTGATACTTCAACGTGAGTGAATTCAGAGGTACAGTTTTTTCAGAACTTCTTTATGTAGGGAAGTTGAAACAAAGAAGAAAATACATTCATACTTTCATTGAGAGCAGGTGGCAAAATACAGGTTTCAAGATTGGACATGACTTTTTTCTTTATTATTTGAACTCATTAAGTAATTGTACACAAGAAAATTATGACAATTAAATTCTGCACAGAGTTAAGGTATAGTGTCCTGGAATTTACCCTTTAAGTGCCATTGTTAGGTATAAAAGTACTTTGAACAAAAATCTGCTCTTCATGAGAATGACTTCTCTTGAGGACTGTGGAAAGAACTGTTTTATTTTAATGGCAGCACCCTGATTTTAGTCCGACTGGGGTTTTTATGTCTCTTTCCCTCTGCTTTACTCATTTTCTGCCTTGCTATCACACTGGATCCTTTTTATCCATTCAGTCAGAAAGTCAAGAGCAGCCAGCCCTAATGCTTTAGATAATTTTTAGGTTTTACACACGCCATTTGTTAATACTGAATTTGAAAGGATGGCAGTGATTTTTATTGCTCTTCCTGACAAAAATTGTAGAAAGTATTATTTCCTATAAATGTTTTGGACATGAAGGAAACATGGTTTTAAAAGTATTCTTTCACTTATTAAATAATGTATATCCAAAAGTAAAAGTGTTTCCTGTATTGCAGATCAGCACACTATGAAAAGTAAATGCAACATATCATTCATAAGTTTATGGTGCTTTGCAGGTATTTTCCTATTGTGAACAGTTCATTCAGACACTTAATGAGTTAATGTTAGTTAGTAAATGTAGTCACCCCAATAGTAACTATTTGCTTGCTTAATGTTTTTTAACTTTTATGATTCTGTGTTAATGAGAGAGATGTATTTTACATATTTAACTAATACTTTCAGTGGTGCCCACTACTGTAATAATCAAAAAGGCTTTTTAGCTTTGCAGTTACAGATATGCCCTTCTTATTCAGGAAATGTATTCTTCCCTGGCCATTCCTTAAGTTGACAATGTAGACAAAATTTCAGTCATTGGTGACATTTGAAAATGTATTGAATGTAAAAATATTGGTATGCATTTCAATATGCTCTTGATAACAAATCACACTTTAGTGAGAATACCATGAAGAGACCTTGGTATATTCCCTGCTCTACACTGATATACGGTGTAAGTTTTACCAATATAGTAAATTATTTATTAGAGGAATTTTACACTTGAAGAACTTGTTCTGTTTCCCCCAGGGGAATAAGTAATATTAAAATAAATGCTAGGCTTATATGACAGGATACACATTAGGTAGTTTTGCCTCTTTTGATGGCATTGATTTGGATAGTGGAAAAATGTCTTCTGATGCAGAGGAGATGTTTGAGATCATCCCCTCCTGTCTAACTCATATCAAAAGTAATTTTAACAACATTTAGATTTTTTTTTTCTCTCAGAAGCTTTGCAAACAAATTGTTGACAATTTATTTAAATACACGGTCAAATGTGTCTGCACATTTGCATAAAAATGTGTAACTTGCTTACATGTGAACTTTCACATGTTCAACTTTATAAGTTGGCCTTGAAAGACATTTAAAAGCACAAATTACTATAATTTAGGCTTTCATTTCCCTTATCTTTAATTCTTTCACTTTGTAATTCTAATTGAATTCTGAAATCAGGCTTGAGAATTTGATTTTCATTGGAAAATTTGAAATACTACCATCTATGTAGAAAAGTGATCAGTGTTAGAAAAACAGATGGAAATAAATTTAAAGAATTTAATATGATGCAGACTATGTATTAAAAAATACACATTAGTTCTGTGCTGATTCATCACAGCATTTCACTACATGATTGACCTTCATGTATTTATTTAGGTCCAATAATACTCTGAACTGCACTTGGTGTATTTTTAAATTTTCCTGTTTAAAAATCAATTTATAAGTATTTCAGTAAGTATTTAAATGCTACTCTGAATAAGTAAGCAGGCACTCTAGGGAATTGAGCCTACTCTCATAAGATTACCAGGTCTGTCTGCATCACAGTTAGTTTGCACTGTCCATCTTCATCCTCAGAGTCTTGGTGGAAAAGGATGGCAGTGGAGAAATCTCTGGTCAGAACATGTTCCATCTGTGCCTGGAAGGCTTTGCCACAATTCCTGCAGGGAGCTAACCCTGTGTGCAGAGCTCGGCAGAGGTTCTACTTGCTTGTGACCCAGGCTGCAGCTGCTCTATACTACATCTGACTGGATTTTTGACATGTTTGCCGTTCTAATCTTGATATTTTGCAAACACCATAAAATCCAGGCATCCACAAAGTCTCCCTGCAAAGTTACAATAACAAATATTGCAACACTTGTTTATTATGGTCAAAGCTAAATAAAATAATAAAAAAAAAAAGATTTCTTAAAAACTTGTTTCAGAATGGGCTTTTTGTAGTTTTTTTACAAAATCTAACCACTAAATCTATCCATTTTCATCACATTAAATATTTAAACAACAATTTTACTCAGTTTAGGTATACAAATTGCAAAAGCAAATATTGCCACTTTATCATCATTTGTGCATTAGCTGTGTGTCCAGTGACTTAGACCTGGTTTTGGTTGTAGATGGTTTTAGATTTTCTGAACCCATGTACATATCCATATAAACATTGCATAAATTTTGAACTGAAAAACTGTGTGACTTCAGACTGAGGTCTGAGGTAGGGCTACTTCTGGAGGAAGGTTTTTGTCTTGCTAGTGACTCAGTCCAGCACCTTATTCCGAACAAACCTCTTGGCAAAAGAGACCTCTGCACAATCTTCTTCCTTCCTTTTGTTCTCTAAGGGGAAGGTACCCCATGCTGGATTTTCATTCAGGTTTCACTATAATATGTCATATGAATAGATAGCTGGGGTCCATGCTTTAGCCAAATTAGACTTGAAAACAGGGACAGTGTAATCTGAAACAAACAAATAGAGAAAATGGGGTGCCTAGAGACTGGTAATCAGAAAGTGCAACACTGCTTATTAAAGGTGCAACAATTACTACAATAAGTTAAGGAGTATTTGCCTATGCATCTTTTGCCTTTCTCTGTGTTTTTCAGCTCTCTTTACATCTTTTCTTTGTACCTTCTTTTGTCCAGTGGTGTTGACTGTTTCTGGAGAATCTGCTGATGTGTCTTACTGTGACAAAGGTGTCAAAATGCTACAATAGTAATTAGGTAGTTACTCTTAAAATCCCAGACCTCAGCTGTGTTCTAGATCAGTTAGAAGAGAACATTCAAAATGTATTGGATGAAAAATAGTGTAAGATGGGTAATATAGCATTATTCAAAGATGTTGTAATAAGTTATTCAACTTAAGAATTTAAAATATGGAACTTTATTCTTTCCTGCCTTGGTTACACATTCAAAGGAATAGGTTTACCTCAATGCAGAAGTAGTTATGCCTCCAACCACCCGTATGTTAAGGTGAGAGAAGACCCCTAAAAGTGGATAGCTACAGTATTCCTAAATTTGCCTTTCCTGGTTCAGATTATAATACATTGTCAGTGAATTTAATTTTTATTATTCCAAAATATATATTTTTTAAAAAGTGTTATTTTTCAACAGATCCATAAACTAAGTGTTGATGTATGGTAAAATTAAAATACCATTGTTAGTTACACTGTGATTGTGATATTTTAATAATTACTTATTTCTAATTTGTCTCAGCAGTGCTGCAGAAGCAGCATGCTGTTATGTTTTAAAGGTGTTTTTAACTTGCCTATAAATGTTCTTTTCTAATTTGTGTCTTTAAAACTGATTAAACTGTAGTTTAAAAAAAGTGAACTTGTTTTAAATTCTTTGCTGTCTATCTTTAGTGAGTGGTGAAGAACAAAATTATTTTAATGCAGTTTCTCCTTTTAGATTGCTAAATATACATTGCATGCATTTACACTTACTTGGAATGTTCTAGTTCAAAATTGCATTTATTTGGTTTGTTTTCTAGAGCTTATACACAAGTATATGTATATAATTATTTTTCAGTAGAGCTAGTGACCAGAATTATGAGTCTAGCCTCTTGTTAGTTAGGAAAGGTGCTTAAGCAATTTAAACCCTCCATCTCAGAGCATGTTGCTACCCAATGAGTGCTACTTCTGGATATGACAACTGGGGTGTTTTTAGCTTGAGAAATGGAAACCTCATAACTGAGAAATCAAATTCGGTGCTTTGCAGAAGCTGTTGCTTTAATTGCTGGTTCCAAAAGCAGGGCTAAATGTGTACCATATGTGCACATTTTTTTCTGTTTGAAACTCAGCTACCAGGACTCTGATAAGGCAGTTTCTGTTGGCTGGTGACAGTATGTCAAAGCTGGCTGAGACTCCTGGACCTGCAGGTTTTTACCTTGTAAACTTAGATTGTTGGAGAAGATAAGAGATATTAGGTGTCCCTACTAAAGAGAGGGGCTGTTTCCATCACTTCCTGTCTCACACTGAATCATTTTCTCTCTGTGTTTAGAATTCTCTTTTAGCAAGTGGTATCACAGGAGATGAAAATACTTGCCATTCCAATACAAGGGACTACAGACACAGTTTTAGAAGGTCTGGTGTTGTCATTTTTAACCAGAAGTTAGACTGCAATGGAAATTGCCTTCTCAAATACGCATTCACAACAGTCAGTCAGGAGTATGAAGTGTCCTCATGAACTCAACACTTGCATTTAGTGAAAATCTAATTTGAAGATATTAAAATAAAACACAGGTTTCTGCTACTAAGTGTTGTAAATTGTTAAGTTGCTGCCCAGAAGGAGTCATAACAGAGCATCCTGTAGCCAGCAGATATTTTCTTGTGCCTGTAATTAATTTAGTTCCATCTCAGTAACTTCCTGATAACATGCAGGATGTTTCAGTATAGAGTACAGACATAGTTCTAGAAGGAGATGTCTTCAACCTAATTACTAGGTGAGAGTTGGAGATCTGTCCAGAGTTTGGCAGTACATCTTACAGCTCTTCCTAAGGTGGTCATATATAATAGCAAAGGAGTTATTTCTCCATGTGGGCTGCACATGATTTTTCTGAACTGAATAAATAACAATTGCACCATGTTTCACTGCATATGTGAATTAGGCACTGGTGGGAAAGTGTTGCTCCTAATCTAAGCATAGGGTAAAATTTAGAAGAGCACAAGGATGTTAGTAGCTGGATCCATCTGTAGCAAAAGTGCGTGATATTGAAGGACTATACAGAAAACTGCCTTATCTGCCTCCACATTCACAGTGTTTGTACAGTTCCTATTGATGCAGAAGGGAAGGAGCTACTGTTTCTGACTGAAATTTGTAACTACATGGTGAGAACACAGCTAACACCTGATGGGTGGGAACACTGTGATATGGGAATAAGGATTTGGTGATGGGAGATTATGAAGTGAGATACTAATACACATTTCTGTATAAAGTGTGAAAAAAGGGTAATCGCTTGAAAATGTTTAAAAATCTGTAAACCTTAAGAGGCTAACACAGGCAGTCTTGTCAGACTGGTTTCTCTTAGGTGCACAAGATTATATGGGTGCCTGAAGCATCAGGACCACTCTTCCTTGAGTAGTGGCCCCTGTGCATATTTCAGGTGGTGCAGAGAGCCCTTTTCGGCCCCACATTAACTGCAGGGACTCATCCTCCATTTGTTCACATTCCTTTTCTGCAAATTAGTGTAAAGAAGGAGAATGTGTTTTATGTGCTTAATTTTTCCCAGTTTTTAAGCTGAACCAATGTTTTGGTGCAAGATTAAATGGATTTAGCTTTTGAATGTCACTGCTTGTGCTTTTGCTTTGTATTAACAACTTTATAGCAGGTAAGGAAGCTGTATATTTTATCAGGACTTTAAGGTCACTGGGGAATTCATGCTTAAAAAATGGCACAGCCCTTGCTGCATGGTTTCTGGTTTATAAGTATTTGGGGTATAGAGGAAGCCCTCTCAGTTATTTCTTTAAGAAGGAAAGAGTCATGGCTCTTTACTGAGATTGAAGATCTCAGTGTTGTAAAGAATTATATGATTGCTTTGACCCTTGAAATTCAGTAACCTTAGAAATATGCAGTACTGTGGGTACTATGCTCCTTTCCCTGGCTGGTTTGTTGCCATCGTTGGTTTAGGCAAGGTTCTTTGATCTCCTGGAGAGATGTCATTGCTGTAGTCATCAGAGATCATCTCTCATCCAGTTGTCCAGATGAATTAAACACATCCCTTATGGATTTGGACTGTGCTGAAGATGGAAATTTTAAAAATACCCATGAAGCTACTTGGACATCTGGGCTGTGGGGAGTCTGCAAGAAGTTGGTGCGTCTCAAGGCATGTGGTGGTATTGCAAAATGTGCATTATGTCAAAATTATCTTAAATCAGGATGTACTTGATAATTGGTCTTTATATATTTTCAAGTCTGCTCAGCAAGAAAGGAGACATAATCAGTAGAAGAAATAGCAGCTAGTATCCCTTAATCAGGACATCCTGGAGCTAACAAGTAAATAAAGATGTTGATGTATGTCTATGTATATGTTGCCACTTTGGCAAAAGACTCAAGGTCCATGGATCCTATAGTTGGTCTATCTTCATTATTATACTAAAAATCACTCATGAAGTTCAGAAAGACCCTGCTCAGGTGAAGACCCTTCCCCTGAGCATGCACAGGAGTCAGCTGGGATTATTTAACTTGTATGAAAATGACAACCCAGCCATAAAGGAGGAGCTGCACTTGGGAGGTTACGGACACAACTTCTGTGTATAAATCACAGAAGCACAAAATATTCTGAGTTGGAAGGGACCCATCGGAATTATCAAGTCCAACTCCTGGCCATGCACAGTACAACCCCAAGAGTCACACCAGGGGCCTGAGAGCATTGTCCAAACCCTTCTTGAACTCTGTCAGCCTTGGTGCTGACAACTTCTCCGGAGAGCCGGTTCCAGTGCTAACCAGTCTCTGGCTGAAGAACATTTTTCTAACATTCAGCCTCAACTTCCCAACTCACCTGTTGCTGTTCCCTCAGGTCCTGTCACTGGTCACCACAGAGAAGAGAGAGATCGGTGCCTGCCCCTCCTCTTTTCCCACACCTGAAGCTGTAACTGCAATGAGGCCTCTCCTCACTCTCTTCGCCAGACTGAATAAGACAAGTGATCTCAGCCACTCCTCGTATTTCCTCGGCTCAAGGCCCTTCACACAATCTTCTCTGCCCTTCTTTGGACGCTCTCTGACAGCTTAATGTCTTTCTTATATTGTGGTGCCCAAAACTGCCCCCAGGGCTCAAGGTGAGATACCTTTCCGCGGCGCTGCTTTCCAGCCTCTCGTTCCCCAGTCCGTCCGTACACCAGGCACCAATTGTTCACTACCTTTTCCCTGTTTCTATCAGAAAGCAGCCGTGGCCCTGCAGGGCGGTG